GGCACAGACCGGATTGTGACCATTATCTTGCCTACTTTGTAGGACAGTAACAAGCGTTGTCATTTTTGCATGTCTAATTCCTAATTTTTATGACGTTTAGACTTTACTGAAAATTCACTTAAGCTTTGATACAAAGAAATAAAGGCAAAGCTGCTGGATTCTCTGTGTGTCCTTTGAAGTGGACTTATGTGTGAACTCAGATAACAGAGGTCTTTCTCCATGGATCAGATGTGTGTGTTTAATATTCATCACTGCAACCTTCATCTTTAAATGATAGATCAAAAGCTGATCTCTACAGGTTATGATAACTGCAGGACTCCTAAAACACACACACACACACACACACACACACAAACACATCCTTGGCTCTGGGCTTAGCTGGGCTTAGCTCTGCACTCTTCTGGATAGAGAGCTCTGATGTTGTTCCTAGGATCTGTTGAAGCCACCCTTCCAGCTTAGGAGTCACAGCTCTGAGTGCTCCTACCACCACAGGGACCACTTTGGTCTTCACCTTCCACATCCTCTCCACTTCCTCTTTCAGGCCATGGTACTTCTCCAGCTTCTCATACTTTTCATGTTGCTGTCATTTGTAACTGCTATGTCTATCACCACTGCCTCCTTCTGTTCTTTGTCTACTACCACAGTGTCTGGTTGATTGGTCAGTAGCTTCATGTCTCTCTGAATCTGGAAGTCTCAGAGGATCTTAGCCCTGTTATTCTCCACAACCTTCTGAGGAGTTTGCCCATCTGGACTTGGGAGGGTCTAGTCCATACTCGGCACAGATGTTTCTGTACACAATGCCAGCCAATTGGTTGTGCCGTTCAGTGTATGCTGATGCTGCGTGCATTTTACATCCTGCCACTATACGTTGACTGTCCATGAGGCCTCTTTGCACAGTCCATCCATCCATCCATCCATCCATCCATTTTCCTCCGCTTATCCGGAACCAGGTCGCGGGGGCAGCAGTCTAAGCAAAGATGCCCAGACTTCCCTCTCTCCA